ACCCAACAATGGTCTAGAAAAGGTTTCAATATATCGCCTAAAATGAACAACGCGGAAGACTCACCCCATTCTCAAACACAGCGACTGTGAGTAACAAGTATTGTTAGATCATGATGCGCTTCGGATACTGAGTTTGACTTTACCTTTATCGGCCCGTTTCACCGTGGATAATCTGTGTGTAACAAAAATGACCGTTTTCCGTCGCTCGACACCCGCTTCGTCTCTGACACAACCTCGATAGATCCTCTCGAAAAGCTCGCTTTGCGCTACTGGATCCAGCGCACTGTTGGCCTCATCGAATACGTATAGATCCGCGTTCGGCCGCATGAAGGCTCGGGCTATTGCTACTCGTTGCCACTGGGGGAATGTTAAGTCCCTATCCTCGATGAATATCATATTGCCATACCTCACCACCGGACAGGGAACACCGGTCCATACTGCCGAACCCAAAACAAAAACCACCGTCCAGGAGTGAGTCTAGACCATCTGGAAGCTCATCCAATAGCCGCCCAGCTCCACCAGCTTGTAGGGCGCTCCTTAAGGCAATGTCGGACGTCATTGCGTCAGTGCAGCCTACACCAACATTTTCTCTGAGACTTGCGTTGAACTGAGAAAAATCTTGGAAAACGGCAGAGGTGCTCGCATGGAGATCTCCGGCAACATATCGGCGGACATCGAGGTCATTTATTCGGAAGTCCCCTTCATCAAAATCGCAGAGCCTATTTATGGCCATTTGATCAGTATCTAACCCCTTTAACCCCATGAGAATTATACACACCTGAGTAGAACGTTCAAGAAGGTAGATTTTCCGGACCCGTTTTCACCTACCATAGGTTAATTCATGTATGAAGTACAGCAAACGGATACTTACCCACGATCGCTACAACTTCTCCTGGTTCAACGTGAAAATTGACGTCGTGTAAAGTGGGTGTATCCCTTCCTGGATAGGTAAAGGTTAGGTTACTATAGCCACTTATCAGCACAGACCCTTCATTCTCTCTTGGTAACGTACCTGATATCAATCTTCATGCCTAATCCCCCGTCGTTTGTGATGTATTCTTCGCGGTCATCTGGGTCTGGTGAGAGCATTGGCTCTAGGTCTAGGGCTACATGGAAAGATGCCATTAAAAAGACGCCTTGAAAGAAGAGTCTTATTGATGTCATAAAATCAGATATTGTCTGAAAGAGTGTTTCAGCGGTTGTTCGATACATTGTCACAGCGCCAAGAGAGGCAGACGAGACTTGTAATGCGAGTGGCATCTGGGCAGAGGTGGTATTAGCTATGGCCCTCATCCATTCACGACAAACATACTGTTTGGACAAGGGAAAAGAACTCGAGAGACGTCGTATGGGCAAAAGTGTGAGCAGCTGTAGAGGCGCTGTCCATAATGGATGTGGGGCGGATAGCGAGGGTCCTTTTGGCACTTGCCCAGGACTCTAGTATCCATTCACCCATGCCAAAAAGGATTACCTCACGCTTGTATGTCTCTGAATAGGCGAGGTTTCGCATTCTTTCATGTTGCTCTTCGAGAATGGATCCTTGGGAATCCTCCAGAGAATGCGACCATCGGTCAGTTGAAAAATTTAGGCGAGAATTGAAGAAGGTATAAAGCGTTGGAAAAGCGGCCATAGCTAGAATCATGTACTCTGTCCAGTGTTGGGA